ATTCTCTTGCCTCAGCCTCCCAAATAGCTGGGACTACAGGCACCTGCCACAAGGCCCAGCTATTTTTTGTTGCAGTTTGGCTGGGGCTGAGTTTGAACCTACCACCCTCGATATATGGGGCTAGAGCTCTACTCACTGAGCCACAGTCGCCACCCCCGAAGGTTTATTTCTTTGAAGGCATGTTACTCATAAACAAAATGCAGGGAAACTTTACAATATGCTAAAAGGAAGCCTTGCAAAGAGAATACCCAGGCCAAGGTGAAAATACACTGCTTTCCCAAGAAGAACATCCAAGTTATTTTTGCCCTTGACTTCTTGTCATCTTCCTGGGAGAGTGCTGAGGCACTGGTGGGAGCTCCTAGCTTTCTGTGCTCAAGCTCAGGTCCTGGTCCCTTTTCCCCATGAGGACTTGTCTGAACGGCCTAGTTCAGAGTCCTAGCTCTCACGTCCTCACTGTGTGGGATTTTGGTATCTTACTCCCTGTCCCTCCACCTCAGTGCCTCTTCCTGGGGCCACAGAAGCTGCATGGTACTGGTGAGAGCAGATGCACTTAATCAATGAGGGCACCTTCTAAGCTGTCAGATGATGTGAAGATTTAAGGGTGGTTGGGATGGTACTCTGTGTGATTATTTGCTATACCCTTACAGGAAGCTCTACCACCCCAACAACGCTCAGCTGGGCATGGCTGTGATGCGGGCAGGGCTGACCAACTGGCATGCTGGTAACATTGAAGTGGGGCATGGGATGATCTGCAAAGCCTATGCCATTCTCCTGGTGACTCACGGACCCTCCCACCCCATCACTAAGGACTTAGAGGCAAGTAGCATCTTGGGGCTGGGTGCTCTCTGCCTATCTGAGCTCTCTGAAGATGGGAATCTGAGTTCTGGTGGACTCTACTTTAGGAAATTCCACAGATTGCCAGATAGACCAGAAAGGAACTCGGAAACACTTTTTCCCACTCTTCTTTTTTCACATGTGAGGAAACTAAAGCCCAGGGAAGGGGAGTGACGCTTTCATAGTCATATAATGAGTTAATAACAAAGCTGGGACTTGAACCCTGAGTCTGTTGTATCTTATGCCCCAAGCTTGGATTGAGAAGACCTAAACAATGGTGTGTGTGTGTGTGTGTGTGTGTTTATGTATTAAATATATTATGGGTTGGGCAGCACCTATGGCTCAGTGAGTAGGGTGTCAGCCCCACATACCGAGGGTGGTGGGTTCAAACCTGGCCCTGGAAAAATTGCAACAAAAAAAATAGCTGGGTGCCTATTGTGGTCTCAGCTACTCAGGAGGCTGAGGCTAGAGAATTGCCTAAGCCTAAGAGCTGGAGGTTGCTGTGAGCTGTGATGCCACTCTACTGAGGGCAAAAAGTGAGACTCTGTCTCTTAAAACAAACAAACAAAAATATTATGGGTTATACAGATTGGATTTTGGAATCACAGGCTCCAGAATCAGACCACCAGGACCGAGTTCCAGTTTCACCACTTTCTAGCTATGTGACTTTGCACATGCATTTAAAGGATAGGCCTCAGTCTCCTCATCTATAAGATGGGGGAAAGAATAGGGTTGTGGTGAGGGTGCATGAGTCGATGTGTGTAAAGCACTTAGAACAACACCTGGAAAATGGTGCTGCTGGTGTCCTTTGTGCTTTGAAGGGCTGGTTTATTTGAGCATGACGGGGCTGTCCTCAGACAGTGTAGCAGAATTTGGTGTCATAAAATGTGCTGTAGAATAATGACATTTAGGGCTCATGTGACATCAGATAAGGATGTCCTTTTACTTTTCAGGTCCCCAGTTTCCACATCCATAAAATGGATATAACATACCATTATGCTGACAGGAGGACCAAGTCAGGGGCAGACAAGTGGGGGTGATTAGCTTCATATCTAGTGTGCTGAGCTTATCAAAGGCAGAGTCTTTCTTTTCTTTTTTTTTTTTTAGAGACAGAGTCTCACTTTATCACCCTTGGTAGAGTGGTCTGGCATCACAGCTCACAGCAACTTCCAACTCCTGGGCTTAGGCGATTCTCCTGCCTCAACCTCCCAAGTGGCTGGGACTGCAGGTGCCCACCACAAAGCCCGACTATTTTTTTGTTGCAATTTGGCCGGGGCCAGGTTTGCACCCACCACCCTCGGTATATGGGGCTGGTGTCCTACCCACTGAGCCACAGGCACCGCCAGACAGAGTCTTTCTTGACTTATTCCCTGCTGTATACTTAGCCCCTGAACAATCCCCAGGTCTTGCAAATATTTTTTGGATGAACATATAGGAGGATGATGGCTTTTCTGTGTCACACACTATCATTTTCCCAACTCGTTGTGGGGTACGAAGGAATCTCATCCATTTGATGGGTGAGGAAACTGAGGGCGAAAGCAAATAAGTCACTTGCCTCAGGTCCCACAACCAGTAAGTGCTGGAGCTAGGGTTCAAATCCAGGTTCCCACTGGACAGTTCCTGAGAACAAACGTTTTCGGCTGTAAACTATCCCTCCAACCACTCTTCAAGGTTCCAACTTTCTTTTCCTGACAAACTGGGCCCACTGCCAGAATATTAGGCCCCAATTGGTGTGTGTGTGTGTTTCTGTGTGTGTTTTCTGAGGGGATAGAGTTGACTCTCGGTGACGGGAGTCATTTACCCAAGGCGGGTCAGAGACCAACATGTTTTTGATGTCCTCGTGTCACACAGGCCATGAGGGTGCAGACAGAGATGGAGCTGCGCATGTTCCGCCAGAATGAGTTCATGTACCACAAGATGCGTGAGGCCGCCCTGAACAACCAGCCCATGCAGGTCATGGCCGAGCCCAGCAATGAACCAGCTCCGGCTCTGTTCCATAAGAAGCAATGAGGACCTGGTGGGGGAGGGGCAACGTGGCTGGGGAGCTGGGGAGATATTATGGGGGTGGTGGGTCTCAGGGAGACCCTTCACTAGGAAGCC